GACTTCAAGCTTAGCATTATTTCCCACATATACATGCTTTGATCCAGGTGGAACTCGACGAAACTCTATAAACGCTTCTCTATCGCGGCTCACATGGTCGGTGGCCCCTGAGTCTACAATCCACACAGGATAAGATTCAGTTAGTAAAACAGTGCTAGAAACATATATAGCGCTAAGAGATGCATTTTGAAATGCTACCTTTTTCGGCTTAGTGCACTCACGAGCAAAATGCCCTGGAACTTGGCGATTGTAACACTTCATCTTGCTCTTATCTTTCTTCTTGTAGAACCGTTTTTCTTTCTTGGAATTTGGCTTGTCTCTTTTCTTGGAGGGTCCTTCTCCAGTCTCCTTACCCTTTCCGTCATTTTTCCAGTTTCTCTTGCGCTTGAAGCTTGATCTCTTTGTACCACTTGATTCTGCCACAAAGGCATTAGGTACAGCTTTAGCAGCACCAAGCCGCTCGTCTTCAAGCTCCACATGACGGGCAACATCAGCAAAAGTTTTGATGCTATCATTGTGGGTCAAGTTAACCTTCAAATGTTCCCAATTATTGGGAAGAGACCGAATCACTGCCTGAACTTGCTGCTCATCAGAGAGAACATGGCCAGCACTTTTGAGTTGAGCAATCATATTTGACATCACCCTTAGATGTTGCTTGACACCGTGATCATGATGCTTTTTGTATGTGTCAAACTTGATTGTCAGCTGTCGAAGGCAAGTCACAGTCATACCCCCATATCCTCCCTTAAATGCGCCCACATAGCTTGAGCAGTAGGATATTGCTCACATTCGTGGATGAGATCATCAGCAACTGAACTCACAATGATTCCACGTGCAGTGGAATCTTTCTTTTTCCAAACATTGTAAGTTTTCAGATCCCTCCTGTGTTGGGCAGTGTTACCCTCCTCTGGGTGACTCACTACATGGTTAATACTTTCAAGAGCATCTTGATTTTCGAGTACATACCACATCTTACTCCAGATATCGTAATTTTCACCATTCAGTTTGTCACCCTTGTTCAAGTCAGCAATGATACTTTTTGATGTCATGTCTGTTATTAGAGACAATATTACAAGTTTAACTCATCAATATATATTTCAGTTAATTTATGCATGTGATTACACACTCAAGAAAATTAATTATAATATTAATACTACATTTAGTATAGAATCGAACGGTCACTACGTTTCCATTCATCATCTATATCTAAATATTTTTAATTAATATTAAAATCACTTCTTAGTGTGTACATATTTCAAGTCTCAATCCATTACAAAAAGATATAATAAACAATGTATGTAACTAGTGAGGCAAATAACATAATATAAATTTCATTAAAATAAAATACATAATAACAATTTACATGTTTGCTAGGACATCCATATACCAATCGAACACACTAACTCTTGCTCATATACGCTAAAAGGTGCACTAGGCCAAACATCATAATAAATCTCAGTTAAAATTTCACCCCAAGGCTCTCGAAGAGAGTCCGCTAAAATAGCTAATGCTTCCCAATCAGTAATTTCTACGTAATTAGCCAATTCAACTCTTTTTATCTTAAAAAGGTGTACATGTTCAGGAACGGAAACATCAGGGACCATCTTAAATTCCTTAAACTCCCTGAATTTCTTTTCTCTTTCCCTTCGTTCAGCCCTTCGATCCCTTAACTCATTTTGTCTCGCCCTTGGGACATTCCTGATGACTTCAGGCTCCGAGTCTGAATCATTATAGAAATAAGTCCTGCGATGACGTACCCTTCTACGTTGTCCCCTTCCTTGTCTTCGAGAACTCCCACTTGGAGTAATTCGAACTTGTCCCTGTTCAGCCATATCTGAAATAGGGCCAAGGAAACAATAAGAATGGCTACGACCATTCGATGTGACAACATATATCACAATTGCTTGTAGGAGGATGTTAATTTAAGGGATTAAGACTAACCAAAATTTTCTATTTACTAAAAAAAGAGTTATCTACTGTCAACAAATGTATATTAATTAGAAAACAAATCTGGAAATAACCTTATTTTTCTTTTGTGTTTTCCAACTTTGAACAAGATATCAACATGGCAGTTGAAATACTGGTAGGAGAGAATAACCAATATTTATGAATTCTTATTTCTTGAAGAGATTTCTTTCTTATAATGCCAAAAGAATAAATATAGGCACAACTATTGTTCTTCCAAAAAAATATCAACTCAGTTTTACAAAGGATTCAAATACTCATTACGTGGGATTGTTAAAAAATTTTGAGTACGTAAAGCAGTAGTGTTTGAAACTAAAAAGAACATCACTCTTTAAATAAAACACCAACAAACTATAAAATATTATTACTAGACAGCAAATAAGATTGCATTCCCTTCAAAAAAAACTGACGCACTTAACATTGCTCACTTGGCAACACTAGCAAATCCATTAAAGTTTATAGAGGGAGGATATAAACATATCATCTTTCACATATGTTGCTGCTAACAGTACTTTAGCAGAGAAACAACCTGGCTCTGATACCATTGTTAATTTAATAATCGCTGGGCGAGAACAACAAGTTGTGTGCCTTATTGACGCAGTGGAAACTGTTGAACTCACCATCAAAGGAATTGCCCCAAATCGTATTTTGAATCTCCAGGAAACAGAGTTTTTGTCCACGATCTAAATACCTTTTTCACATTGAGTTTTCTTGAGGGAGAATTACTTCAAGACTTCTGTCTTTCTCTGTTGAAGAAGAAAGATATATATAAAGGAGAGAGAGGAGTTTCAAGAAAAAAAAATTGCCCGCTCACATTCAATCCTACGTTCCCCTCTCTCTCTAACGTGCAGCAGTTTTTATTTTATTTTATCTGTGTTTTAACCTCCCTAGGTAACCTCTTTAGGTTTTATCTCCTTTAAATGGGTAGGGTCAGTCCATATGTGTGACCCGTGACCCAAACCCAATATCCAACAGTAGCAAAAGTTCACAGCACAAAAGAAGAAGATAATTAACTTATTATGACCGCTTAAACTGCAATATAGGAGGAAATACAAATAATTTTAGCAAATTAACCATTAACAAAGCAAAGTCTTTGATTTTTTTTTTTGTTCTTATATTATTTACCCTTTTTTCAAGAGAAAATACTATGGAAACATAAATAACTATAAGCAAGTTAATGCATTAACAAAATAGGTCAACGAGAGAAAAGAGAAACCAATAACAAAAGCAGTAATCATGAAAATAGTGGTGGTAGATATGTACACCCCATTCTTGAAACATTATCTTTCCAAGAACTCGAAAAATTAAGTAGAAAAATTGAAAAAACAGACATCTAATGAAACTTCTAATAAAAGCCCAATATTTCCAAAGCCAGCGCTTGGTCATATATTCCCAAATTTATTTTGAAAAATCTTATCTGAGCGAAGTTTGGTTTGAAGATGAAAATGTGTTTGGAAATCAGTTTTCAACATATTTCCCAAATTTATTTTGGAAAAACATGAAACATGATTTATATCCACAAGTTATAAAAACTATCACAAATACCCAACAATATCATTATCAATAACATTCATTATATTATCGCAAACTATAGTCCTGAACATAAATAAATTTGGTACAAAATTATCATTTTTATAATGAACTACATGATACACTATCAGATGACCGAGAAGACGAAGCAACGTTGTTACAAAATAATAAAGGCAAAATACATAGTTTACCCATCGATCTTGTACCCAAATCCCTCTTACACACTTGTTCATCATGGGGATAATATTACACACTCAAACCTTTCAAAAGTGTGTCAACAACACATCACTTTTGACCAGTCCAAGTAATAGTTTGTGCTGTGTATGACACGCGCGTCTCTAAATTAAAAGGACCGTTTTAATCACCCAACCCTTTTAAAGATCCGACCCGCTCAAATAAAAAAATCCAACATCCAGTGCACCACCTTCCCTACCACTGCACCACCTTCTCCACCATTGCAACCCCTTCTTCTTTGTAAAAAAAATACTCTACCATAGTTAGCACAAAAACACTAGTTCCAACACCCAAATAGATACACACAAACAACATATCCAAAGAATTAACCGGCCGGAATTTTACTTGAAACTCCATCTCCGACCATCCTTTTTTTTCTGGCATTATCTTTTCCTTTTCCAAAAACTCAATAATGATGAGCCAAAAGAAAATAACGAAAAGGAAAATTTTCTGATCTTTATTTGGCACAATTGAAAGAATCACAAAGGCCACTTAGTCAACAAAATTCCAAAATAAAAAATTGAAACCGTATCTTCTTCTGCAATTCTGCCCTTCTCACTAACACAACTGCCACCAAGAATCTTTCGGAGAAATTTCGAATCTTCAGCAACCAAAAGAACAAGTAGAATGGGAGAAAGTTGAATCGGGGAAGAAGCGAAATAGGGAGAGGGACGAAACCTTGGTGGGTGGGGGGGGGGGGGGGGGTAAGAAGACGAAG